TACACTGTACGTTCCACAAGATATAGCCCTCGTCAACCCTTTCACCATCCCTACCGATGAATCTCGAAACGTTACCCAGGTAGTGACTGCGCATGCGCAATTTACGTATTTATTTTCTTCCGTACAAAAGCCCCTCAGCGGTAAACTTATAAAGCCAAAAATCGGGTTTTGAAACCGTTGGTGGGCATAGCTCGTCCATTGTGTAGATTTGTACATCAATACAAACAAACAATTCCGTACAAAAATATATTTCATTAGAGCTTTCCTGACTAGAGTTAAGCTTATTTGGCATGCCGATGGTGATTTTTGTTTTAACTTACGGTGTTCTCGTAAAGTTTACTGGAGTATTTGAACAATAACAAAATGAATGCTATTTGTCATTGAGTAATAATTCTGGATAACACGAATTCGTGAGCAACAGAAACTGCCACCAGAGGGCGCTATATATTCAGTGTGTTTACTATACTTGGTGATGATGGTCTGCATGCGTGATATGACCTGACAGACTTAAGAAGCTGTCTAATGTACTAGATTTTTGGCTAAGTTAGTTGTGTAGCATGGACCGCCTGCTATGTTGACTACTTTCACGGTAAAAGTCAATGTCCAGGATTACCTGAAGATCCTGTTGTCCAATTTTCAACAGAAAGAAAATGCATGTAAGTGGAGTCATTTAGTTCCAGTTAATATATATATATGTAGATTTCAGTTGTTTCGAATCACTTCGTTAGTGTATGTAGTAGCATATTTCAAACAGCTTTTTTTAGTAGGTCTCTAATTGTACAATTTTCATAAAATCCCAGTTTCTTTTCATCATTAATGTTTTTGTAGTATATCATAATATATATATATATTTACTTTTTTTGATATTGAAAGAAGTATCTATCTAAAATTTGCATCGTTATTTAAAAAAATTCATATTATTTTTCAAGTATCCAGAGGCGTAAGTCTTCTGGAACATTTAGTGAAGCTGAAATAGACGATATACTATTGATAAGCCGCCCCAGGTATCAAATATGAGAATACCACCTCGCGTTTTTTTGTGTTTTTTTTTATGGACTTTTAGGTTGCTAAAGATTTGCATTGTTATTACATTACAGGAGAATATTTAATGTTAAACGTTTCTTTGTCTTCTATAAATTGTTGTAGTTAGGAGATAATTGATCAAAACTATGGAAAATACAGCAGCTGTCTATCAGTGTGAGAAAATATATTACTATAAGTGTCTGTTGTTAGTACATTACTATAGTGTCTGTTGTTAGTACATTACTATAAGTGGCTGTTGTTAGTACATTACTATATTGTCTGTTGTTAGTACATTACTATAGTGTCTGTTGTTAGTACATTAC